GTTCCATCATGGCGTCAATGCAGGTGAGCGGAGTTTGCTGCATCTGGGCGGGCACGGGAGCTTTCGAGAGGCTGCTCGCGTTTGGGTGGGGACAGTGTCCGGGACTCCCGGCCACCTGGGCGGACTCCGAGGCGGTCCCAGTGGCCGGTCCTGGTCGTTCCCCAGGCTCTGAACGTCGGAGAGGGGTGAGAGGCAGCGAGAGGAAGGGCGTGTGGGGGGGCGTCTCGCTTGGTCGAAGCGAGCACCAGGCGGCTGGGAAGTTGGGGGCTAAGGAGGGTTTAAGGAAGAAAGGGCGAAGTTTGGTTTTGACTCCGCAGTGGTGGTCTGGGACTCGCCTCCCGCACTCATAGACGTCCGCTACCGGCCTCCCTGTCCGCCCCAGGGATGTCTTTTCCTCCGCGGTGCCCGGCCCGGCGGAAACAGCTGCGCCCGCCGTTGTCGCCCGGGCTGGGGCGGCCCCGAGAGGGGCTGAGTGTGAGGGAGCTGGAAAGGCGTTCCCGGAGAAGGCTGCTGGCTGCAGTCGGTGCTCGGCGGCCTCTCCCCTTCGCTCGGTCCACCTCGCTCTCTTCCCCTTCACTCTCACTCCGTTCTTTGCCCCGTAGGTACCTCTGTCAGCTTGAGCACCTACAAACATTCTGCAGCAGCCTACTTTCTCACTCCCCCGAACGGCCCTTAGTACATCAGCCACATTTGCCGCCTGACGTGCAAGCTCCGAATCCTAGTCACTTAGCTCTCTTAAACCTCTCGGGATAACTCGCCCTCTAATTTATCTTTTTCTTACCATGCTGTAACCTTGCGGCCGCGCTAAGCCTTATATAGCTCTCTGCCCTTCTTCCCCAGACCTTTAGTGGAGCCTTAGTTTGGTAAGAGGTGTTTGTTAACCAGCGTTGTATCTACCTGACTTGTCATTGCGTGGTTTTCTGGCTTTCCACCTTAATTCACTGCCCCCTCGTATCCTGGAAGTTTGCTTTTTTTCAGGCGAAGATGACAATCACTACTGTAGTTTTTCAGAGATTGACTGCATTATCTACAGCCTGTCTTTAATTCACAGATAAGACTAGCCTTACTAAAACATGTAAAAAGAAAAGGTAGCCTTTAACATTAAGGAGTGTCAACTGAAATGCCTTTTTGGAGTTTCAACACTCCCTTAAGATATCACGTTTTTCTTAGAATTTGTTTTCAGAATAAACAAGTCTTTATCCTCCGTCTTTTCTTTTTCTGCAAAAAAGTGTTTTTCTCTCTTCTGTATTTTCTTCCCCTTTTGTGCAGTTTCTTTTCCTTTGCTTCATATGTACTTCTGTGGTTTATGTTACTCCCTTTCCAATTGTTTTCCTCACAATATTCCTTTCACCTTTGCTTCTCCCTCTGGCTTTTCCTGCAGAACAATAAAATTGCGCGTAACATTTCTAGGTGAAGACATGTCATGAAATGGTGCAGGGAAAAACAAGAACAATTTCAGGAAACATTATACTTTATACTAGTTTCCCCAGAGATGTTAGAGAAGTTTCGTCACTTGAAGCCAAAAAAGGAAGTGTGGAATACTAGTTGAACAGTGGATGAGCTATATGATTACTTGAAGATTTTTATCTATATTAAAATTAAAACATGACTTGTTATGACCAGTTTAAGACTGTTACCTCAATTAGGATATAAACATTATTTAAAACTAAAAGTTAAGATTAAAAACACAGTACTTGTATTTGACAAGGGGATAGTGTTGGATTTAGACCTGAAGTATTTGGAAAAGGCAGATTTCTTTTTAAGAGAGATGTTGATAATCTTGAATTTTGCATAGTGACTTAAGTAATAGTAATACTTGTCAGTATAGTACATTTTTAGTGTGCTTTTTTAGTACTACCTCAGGTAGTCTTATCACTGTTCTTTACTCCTTTGGCTTCTAATTAGAGAAATGGAAAACTGATGGAGTGCCATTTTAATTAGCTCATCAATATCATTTGCCTTAAACTTTTTATTTCTTTTCAAAAATACTTGATGGGGCCGGAGATTTAGCTCAGTGACACTGCATTTGCCTTGCCAGTGCAAGGTCCTGAGTTCAGTCCCCCGTACCAAAACAAAAAACAACTTCGTGAGGTTTTCTGAGAATATCTTTAAAATACTTTAACAGAAAAATCAAACTTCTTGAAACACCATACTACTTTTTATGTGTTTATTCTATGTCTTCGCTGTACAAAATTTATTTCCTCATCATCTTAGTAGTAGAGGTTAACAATTTTAAAAATAACTAAATGATGCATAAAACTACAAATGATTAAGTGTGCTATTAGGAAGTATTTTGGGGAGTCCAATATATATCAAGCATCTAGATAGGTGTTGGAGACAGCAGTGAACAAAAATAATGTGTCTGCTTTTGTAGATGTAGTCATTTAGTTGAGGGAGACAGATAACAAAATATTTAAGTTGTGTATTATGTTAGAAGGTGATAGTGATAGTGCTGTGGAGAAGCTGCATAAAGGAAGTTAGGGTATCTCTATTTTGGGGATTTCAGTTAGGAGAAAGTACACCATGATGCAAAATGCTGGTGTGACCACGTCCTTGTCTAAAAAGCTTTTATTAGATTTGTTTATCTTACTTACACCAGGATATATTACTGTTGCTGAAGGGGTTACTTAAGCTCTAGAAGGAACTGTGTTTCAAAAATATACTAGGGCTGGGGATTTAGCTCAGTGGTGCCACCTGCCTCGCAAGTGCAAGGTCCCATGTTGGTCCTCTGTACAAAAAAAAAAAAAAAAAAAAGCTGCGTTATAGAGGTATAATATGGGATTTGATTAATAAAAGAAATAAGTTAGTCTTTTCAAGAATATGTGTGTTAGGGCTGGGGATTTAGCCCAGTGGTTCCAGCACCTGCCTCGAAAGTGCAAGGACCTGAGTTTGATCCCCAGTACCAAAAAAAAAAAAAAAAAAGAATGTGTTAAAGTTGATGTTAAAACTGTTCTAATATATTCAGTCTTTTGTTTGAAGTCATACCAAACAAAAAATACATGGGGCAGAGGCGGTTTGAATATAGTCCAAGCTAGCTTTGAACTCAGTATATAGTGCAGGGTGGCCTCAAATTTACAGTGATCCTTGTGCCTCAGCCACCCCCGGTGCTGGAATTGTAGGCATGTGCCATCATGCCTGATTTAAAAAAAAAATTTTTGTTGGGGCCAGGCATGGTGGTGCATGCCTGTAATCCCAGCACTCGGGAGGCTGAGGCAGGAGGATTGCTGTGAGTTCAAGACCAGCCTGGGCTGCACAGTGACTTCCAGGGCAGTCTGAACTGCATAGTGAGACCCTGTCTCAAACCAAAAATTTTTTGTCTTATTGGTAATTTTAAGTATACAATATAATGACATTCATCATTGGAGATTTGTACCTTTACATAATGTATCTTGATTCTTATTTTTCCCCATATCCTGCCTCCACCCCTCTACCCTTCCCTGTTTACAAAGTCTTTAACATGAGAAAATGAAAAAATAGAAACAAAGACTTTGTAAAAAATAATTTTTGTGTAGCACACCAAGATGGATGAGGTTGTTGGAGGCTGGAAGCACCTGACCAGGCAGCTCTTTGTGAAATATCAAGGAGGGGAGGCTTGATATTCTGGCACACCTCTGGTACTGGGGATCAAACTCAGGACCTTGTGCTTGCGAGTCAGGCTCTGTGCCACTGAGCTAAATCTCTGGCTCCTATTTTTCTTTTTTCTTCCTAGAACACAGTCACGAACCACCAAGTAAAATTATAGTTAGATTATATTTTAAGAAACTGTTTTTAAGAGAATAGTATGTTCATGATGATAAGTTAAAATTGGCAAGAATTAAATCTGTTTAATTTTGGTAATTCTGGAAATCTTAAAATATTAAATGGAAAGTTCTTTGTAACATGTTTTAGTTTTGCACTTTAGGTACTGTGATTAGTTGATACAAAGTTTCCATCTCTAAGTGGTTCTAAATACTTTTGAAAAGAGTAGCTATATTGGGCTGTTGTTTTCAGATTAAACCCTAAAATATTTGTGTTCTTTTTTCATTTTATAGTTTTTTTTACCCTTTCCCACAGCTCATTTCATATTTGAAGTAGTTAACCACTTTGGCTTCCTTTATATGTTTTCCAGTTTTAAAATTTAGCAGTTTCATCCAGACTTTTCTTAAGTTAGAAGTTTTAAGTAAAATACTTGGCATGCATTATTTTTCTTTTTAGTTAAACTGTCCTTAACTTATATCTTACAAACCCTGAAAATGCATAATAATTTATATTTGTCAACGTGAAAAGCAGTGATATAATTAAGATAAACTATCATTTTGGTAATTCTTTGTGATTTTTCTGGGTTTTCTTCCTCACTTACCTAACTGGGTCTTAAGACTATTGATTGTTGATTTGGCTAGCTGGAAGGACGTTGACTTACAGTGACAGGAAATAGAGTATGAGTATGTGCTTATTTTCACATGGCTTAGAAACAGTCAGTTGTTTTGGATTATTCACAGCTCTCCATATCTCTTTTCTCAGGTAACTAACTGGATGTAATGATTGAGAGAGGCTCTTACAATACTATTACAGTAGCCATGTTGCCATGACAATTAGATAACACACGCCTATTATTGTCATTATTAAAGGTTGTAGCGTACTGCAAAATTGAGAAAATTGACTCATTTTGGATGCTGAGTCTCATTGAGCGCTGGGAACTTGAAGTTGGTATGAGGCTTGCTAGATTACTTAGTGATAGGGCTGTCAGAGAGCTTTTGGATCAGGGGCCAAGGGATAAAGGGAATATAGAATAGAATTGTGTGTGTTTTGTGTGAATTGTAAACATGAGTATATAGTAGATCATGTGAATGGAAGAGTAAAGCTGTGGTAAATCATCTTACTAAGAAGAGAGTCTTTTTTTTTTTTGCTTTTAGTCAATTATTGTGTTATGAGATCCCTTTTATATTTGTCTTAAAAGCTTTTAGCTTTTTATTTAACTTTCAAGTCTCCTCATTGGCCACAGACTTCATGAAAACACAAAATGTTCTTTTCCTCTTGTCTCTTA